TAATGAAAAAAATAAAATTGAATAGATCTACGTTTACTATGATATACTGGTTGTTGCATTACGTATTGAACGACCCTCGTAACGAGTAAGAAAAAGAGTTAATAGTGGTATTTGAGTGTCTTCGTTATTGCTGTGGAGTATGAATGATATAAAAGAAGTTAAGATTTTTTGCATATCTAAATAATTTTAAATATACAGGAATTGATAAATGCCTAAACGCTCATGATGTTTACATTGAACAGCCGATTTTTTTTTTCTGATCCAGACTCGAACTGTAAACCCATTTAAGACATTATCATATCTTTACTGCAATAGCTTTAAGGCTTATAAATACATAATTACATCTAATTTCACAACAAATTAAAAATTATTCAGTTCAAGTTGTAAAAAGCAGATTCATGGTGCAGTTCAGCTGCAGCGATAAGAATAAAATAGTGTATGTTAATTACAAAGAATATCAAATTAAGTCTTCTCTGCGGTTGGTGTGCTAATGATAGTTACATACATGTAATTTTGTAGGGACCGGGTACGGGATGGTACCTGGTTAGTATATTTTGTACCTGGCGAGACAAAGTCGAGCCACGTATACAATTTACTAACCAGGTACCATCCTTTCCTGGTCACTACAAAAACTCTATGATGAATTTATGCCTCCGATAATATTATAAATAATCATTTGGCTTTGGTTTGCAGAATCAATTTTCTTCCTGCTTTATGTTTCATCACCCTTGTAAAATACCTACTATGAAGTCACGCTGTGAGCACTACATAATAGTGTTTCTTTGTCTCATAATAGTGAGTCGCGCAGTAAAAACGTACAGACAATGTTGAAGAAATTTAGTAAAGTGAAAAGGTTCCATAATTTGTGCTCGTTACTGACATTAAGATTTTAATTGTAAATAGACATCATCACTTACAAAGGATTAACTAGAACTGACCCAAAAGAACGATAACTGCGTATTGACCATGTATTGATTTTCAAGTGACCGTGTATAAGTCTTTCAGCAACTGACGACAACCAATCGTAAGCAAGGATTTTATCAAAAAATCGTTAGAGGTTGGGTAATGTAATTTAATTTGAACACAGTGCAATATGTCAGGCTCGAATGAAAAAGCTTGTAAATTTGTCAATTTTTAGTTTTCCTCGGCTGTGTAGATTTCACAGTCATGGTTTTAAATACATACTGTAAATATAACTTTAATCGATGATGTTGTAGGAGATGCCAGTGGAAGGCCGCAAATTTAGAACTATATTCAGCACTGAAGGTCACTGGTCAGAGAGGGATCTTTTTAGTGCTAGCACTTACTGCATCATGTGACCTCGGCTTAAATTAATAAACGGTTTTATTCGTAGGATCTATTTCCTTGTTACTTAGTGGATTCGAACCCATAACGTAAGGATCAGCTCTTAAATATTTTGCAAATTTAGAGCAAAATGTGAAAGTACTCTAACCACCATGCCACTTTTAGATGAAGGAAAAGTTGTTAACAAATCCTAATTACTAGTAGTATTCTTGAATCCAAAAATGCACAAATTAAATAATTCATAGTTAGCTACTTTAAATATTGCTATGGTAAAAGTTGATATTCTTTAACAAATGTAAATAGAGTTTTAAATTCTCAGGCTTATATCATGCTTATGATCTGCATTATTAAAAACTGAAAAAAAAAGAAGAAGAAAATATTCCACCGAGAAAAAGGTTAATCGAACAGACAAGGCTTAATTGTTTGAAATTTTAATTACTTTCTTTCAATTCATCTTCGTATATAATAAAACAATTCGTAAATTATGATTATTAGAGTTCTTGACTTTTATAAATAAAATGTCATAATGAACTAAATTGATTGATTATATGTTGTTTCACATCCCATTCAAGAATTTATCACTCAGATAGAAATGCCACCGAGCCATAAACTGGTTAAGGGGCTTTACTTGACACTTAGGACCATTGTGTAGTAAGGTCTTTATCATGCCAATACCTACCATGACAGTGCCTGATGAAGGAACAGTCACTACCTATGTAATGTCTTAGGTATGAGGCGAACTAGCTTCCCAGTCATAAAGTCAATGCCTTTCCATTAGACTATTGTGACAAATAATAAACTAGATTAATCATCATGATAACCATGTAAAACAATGTTTAGTGGAAAAGTAGGTGTTGTTTTCAACTCATCAATTGAATCAGATATAGAGTAGAATTTTTTGTGACAAGGTATATAATTTTAAGTAGTTGACTAATTAATGGGGACATCTTTTGACAGTGGCTGCATATTGTGATTCAATTCGTGGATTACAGCTTTTCAGTTTTAAGCACTCTAAGCCTGCTAAGTGTTAATTTTTTAACTATACATGTATATATTTAGATATACATATTATTTAAAAAGTACGTATGATTATCATATCAAAAATATTGACTAACCAGTTTTGAAAGTCATAACAGGTTACCTGATCTTTCTTAATGATTAGTTGGTTAATAACTGGTTTACGATTGCCATCCATAGCAAATTTTTGACATGTGCAAGTTATGTGAATTTCTTTATGTGAAATCTTTAAAAAAAATTCTAAATTCATCCACCTCTGTGTTACTTTTATTACATACTCAAATGATTGCATGTAAACTTCTATTTCATAAAATACTTATACAAATAATGCACATAAAATTTGACAGTGTCTTTGACCTCATGGTTTATCACTGATTGTTTCAAAATTTCTTTAACATTTTTATTGCTATTTAAAATGAGAAATTTTGAATTTCTTTTAAATAGGCATGACTGTTAGCTGATAACTGAATGAAATTGATACAGAAGAGCATTTGTTGGGAAATGACAAAGAATAAGCAACACGGTGAAATCTAAACATTTACACAGGGATAAAAATTCTTCCATCTAGGATTATGGATACATTATGATTGAATTCATCAAGAACTTGTACTACGTGTAATTTTACAGAAAAATTAAGGGAGAGCTATTGTACAAGTGAGAACATGTGTACATGTTTAAATGACTCCAGTACAAATGTATGTATACTGAGCAGCTTTTAAGTATAAGATTGAAGAGATGCCCAATCACATTTCATAGTCAACAAAGCACTGAATCCTGCAAAACTATTATATTTCTGTTTACTGTTAACCTCAACTGAGTTAATGGCTCAAGTGAAATTTTCTGATCGAAGGGTGTCCAGTGTCTATCATGTGTCCTTCATAAACTATTAATTTTTTTAACTCACCTGATCCAAAGGCTGATCAAATTGTATTCAATGTTGTCATTGTTTCAAATGTTTTACAATTTCATGTTCTTCTCGAAACAAAATGGTCAATTTCAATGAAACTTGGCATCCTTGAGTGATGAGATTCAAATCATTTTAAATGAAGAGCAACTCTTTCAAGGGAAGATAATTAAGAATGAGTGAAAATTAAATGTCATCTTTTAAAAATCATCTTCTGATGAACTACTGGTCCATACAATATGAAACTTATACATGCCAAAACTTAATTATAAGGTATAAATTGAAGTGCGTTAAAATCAAAATCCAATAAGGGTAGGTTGGGCCACAATAGAGGATCAAGTTTTTCATTGGAATATATATAAGAAAAGAAAGTTGGGGCCTCAACAGAAATCAAAGTTTTACATAGAAAGAAAAAGAAAAAAATCTTAAAGAACAACAAAGCTATGATTAGTTGTATTAATATGGAAGCATTCTCCGGTAGTGTAGATTCAAGTTCACTTATATCTTGACCTTTGGGTTCGGATAGGGCCATAGTACAAATCAAAGTTTTATAGAGACATTTTACTCAAGAACATCAACCTACCAGCATCCTTAGGTAGTGTAGATTCAGATTTGTTCAAATAATGGGGTATTGTGTGCCTACATTAGAAGTCTTTAAAAATCTTCGAAAGAACGGGAAAGTCATGATCAGTCAAATTTATGAGAAAGCAACTTCAGGTATATAGTGTAGATTTATATTTTTTCATAAATGACCCTAGGGCTAGGAAAGGACCAAAAGAATTCTTATGAAAGATTTTTGAATTTTTTGTTTTCAAAAACAGATACTCAGTAAGCCATGACTAGTCTTTTTTATGTGAAGCATCTTCAGGGCTAGACTAGATTTGTTCAAATCATGATAAAGGGCGATCAATATATATATATATATATATATATATATATATATATATATATATATATATATATATATAAAGCACTAAAAATGACCAACGACACGAACAATAGAAATTGTCAAATTTTCGGGACGCCCTGTCCCTTCCTCAGGACAAAGAAAAAAGTTAAAAAGTCATAAAAACAAAGGAAATAGAAAAACAAAAACGGCTAGCACTACTACTAAGCTACCAAACACTATTTATTTACAATTTTACATGTTGAATTTGAATTTTATAATCAGTTGTAAAGAAATAAATCCGGACCGCTATGAAATACGTCCGGTCTATCGGGTGTACTCTGGTGAAGTGCGATTTACATAATTGAACGAATTAATTATCGCTAATTAATTACGGCCAAGTAGTAAATCGTACACTGTCTTATTCTCTCAAAATAGCTTAACTTTACATAATAAAAAGAAACCAAAATAAGATAATTTAGATGTATTAAAAATGTTATTTGGAAATGTTTTAGGACTGTTTATCGGATAAAAGAAATAATAAATTTATCTCCGGAAATTACGTTACGAAATTGAGTTCAATCGTTCTTCGATTTTTTCGACTTCAGGCGAATTCATTTTAAATCATTACTCTCATTGTTTAGGCAAACAGCTTTTTATTACCTTTTCAACATGTCAATAAAAAGTAATCCAACATTCAAACTCCTGAAGAAACAACACCAAAAATCAATCAAAACTAAACACCGTGTTTCAAATTTACAGACCTACTAAAAGTGTGACATTATACCTAAAGGTTTCCAGATTAATGTCACGCCTAACATAGGGCCAATCTCCAAACGCTTTCAAGAACGCTGGGAATGTATCACAAGGAGGTGTTCTAGACAATTGATGTCACTCTGTCTTTCTTGGGATATTCACAAGTTAGGACAATTTGAGAGTGATATCACGTCCTTAGAATCATCCCTCACTGATAGCATGTCCCAAGCTAACCTTGATGAAGCCCATAATATTATTGCTACGTACAATATGGCCCTAACCAAAGATCTCAACAATACTCAAAAGAAGAAATTTCTCCGAGACAATGTTCCACAGACCAGAAACGACCGGTCAGAGGTCAGAGTTAACCAATCACGTAAACCCCGCTCTAGACGCTTCAAGCGCAAAAAGACAATCACGGGGGACGGACCCTTGCAAACTCCTGACATCTGTCCAGTGCTCAATAAATCTAGTGTTCCTCTCTCCGAGTCGGAGACCTCACTTCTTTCTAAGGGGCTGAATTTCTGTCCCACGCCACATGAGGTCGACGAAAAACAAGTCAGAGAGGACACCCGAGCATTTTTTCGGAGACTTCGACTAAAGGAGCACTTCTCTAGAAAAGACTGCGATGATGATTCATACGACTCTTCCCAGCCACAATTGTACGACCTAGAGAAACACAAACTCTATCGGCCCAAAAGCAACTGGGAACCTGCACCAGGCAAATGCGGAGCCCTGAGTCGTATGTTGACGCCGTTGAGTCAGACATTGAGAAACTCCTTTCCATGCCAGATATGGCCCCCGACAATTTAAGTAAGGAAGAGAGATCCGCCTCACAATCATTAAAGAATCGGGATGACATCGTGATCAAGAAAGCAGACAAAGGCTCTACAGTAGTAGTACTTGACAAAGAGACGTACATGGCGGAGGCCCATAGACAACTCTCAGACGAACGTTTCTATAAGAAACTTGACTCTGACCCTTCTAAAGAATTCTCCACCACTATCACCAAAACTCTCGATGAAATGTTTGAAAATAACGAGATTGGTATAAACGTCTATGAGACACTCAATCCTATTGACTGAAGACCAGGACATATTTTACCTGCTTCCTAAGATACATAAAGAAGGCATGCCAGGTCGCCCTATAGTTAGTGCAATCAGACACCCCACGGAGAAAATTTCTGAATACATTGATTTGCATCACCGTCCACATGTAGAAAATTTGCCATCCTATCTCAAGGACACCACAGACTATATCAACAAGACGCCCTCGACTGGTCTTCCAGATCATACCCTTCTCGTGACTATGGACGTTACATCTTTGTACACCAACATTCCGCACGATGAGGGTATCGAGGCCTGTAGAGAAGTCTGGGACAGTAGATCAATACAAACTCCTTCCACTGAGTCCTTTACCAAGCTCCTTGAACATGTTCTCAAATGTAACAATTTCATGTTTAATGGAGAACATTACCTGCAGGTTAATGGCACTGCGATGGGTACGAGAATGGCCCCATCTTATGCCAATATTTTCATGGGCAGACTTGAACGCAACTTGTTACTTCACGCACCATTTAGGCCCCTTAGCTGGTTGCGTTTCATTGACGATATAGAGATGAAGTGGGTGGAATGCCGCGAGAGCCTCGAAGCATTCATTTCGTTTGCCAACACCTTCCATCAGTCTATCAAATTTACTGTAGACGTATCTAATTCCAAAAACACAATTCTTAGATACTACATCTACCTTGATTGATGGCGAAATCGAGTTTAGTCTCCACACGAAACCCACCGATTCCCACCTATACCTCATGCCGACTAGCTGTCATCCCCCACACACACATTCAAAGGTGTGCTTAAGGGTCTGGCTACCAGAATTCGTCGCATCTGTTCATCCCCTGCCTTGTATCAGGAACAGAGCAGTCTCCTAACGTCCCATTTATGCAACAGAGGCTACAAAGCCAACAACATACAAACTGCTATTGATGAGATGGCAGGACACGACAGACAAAACCTCTTACTCTACAAGGAAAACGAAAACAGCAGTAGGGTCCCTCTGGTAACCACATACCATCCCGTCCTTAAGAACCTCAGCGGTATTCTTAAAAAGAACCTGCCAATTCTCCACTCTAACAAAAGAATGGCAGAGGTCTTTAAGGAACCTCCATTGGCTGCCTACAGGCGCCCGAGGAACTTAAAGGACATGGTAGTTAGAACCAGATTGGACAATCCATTACCTAACGGAGGCTTTAGAGCTTGCTCTGACAGAAGATGTCTTCTCTGTAAGCACAGCTCTGACACAGACAGCTTTAAAAGCCCCGTTACAGGCCGCAGCTACAGAATTCTAGGGAATTTGTCTTGTCAAACAGAAAACTGCATATATCTTATCAGTTGTAAAGTTTGTTCCAAACAGTACGTTGGGGAAACGGGAGATATCCGCAGGAGAATCAATAATCACCGTTCGACCATTAAGACCAAAAAACTCAATGAACCCGTTGGGGAACATTTTAACCTTGAAGGACACAAATGGGAGGACATGACAGTAGTGGTTATTGACCATAATCCGAATTGGACCGATTCTCAGAGAAAAAGCAAGGAAAAGATCTGGATGCACAGACTGAAGTCATTCCGCCCTAATGGTATCAACAAACTAAATGACTTCACCAGGATGAACGTGAACTAGACACAATTCCTGATTGTAACAAGCAAGTTTATTCTCTCTATATATTGTTAACTTTACCGTTAATTCGCTTTATTAGTTTTTTGCTTACTTTTTTGTTTATTATATCTTTTATCCGATAAACAGTCCTAAAACATTTCCAAATTACATTTTTAATACATCTAAATTATCTTATTTTGGTTTCTTTTTATTATGTAAAGTTAAGCTATTTTGAGAGAATAAGATAGTGTACGATTTACTACTTGGCCGTAATTAATTAGCGATAATTAATTCATTCAATTATGCACTTCACCAGAGTACACCCGATAGACCGGACGTATTTCATAGCGGTCCGGATTTATTTCTTTAAAACTGATTATAAAATTCAAATTCAACATGTAACATTGTAAATAAATAGTGTTTGGTAGTTTAGTAGTGCTAGCCGTTTTTGTTTTTCTATTTCCTTTGTTTTTATGACTTTTTAACTTTTTTTCTTTGTCCTGAGGAAGGGACAGGGCGTCCCGAAAATTTGACAATTTCTATTGTTCGTGTCGTTGGTCATTTTAGTGCTTTATATAAATTTCCATCCTTGACCTTGTATCTATTTAGTAGATCCGACACTTAGGATATACAGTGTTGTTTTTGTAGTGCTTTCTATATATATATATATATATATATATATATATATATATATATATATATGAAACATTAAAACTGACCAACGACACGAACAATAAAAATTAGGATATACAGTATTGTTCGTTTTTAGTGCTTTATATATATATATATATATATATATATATATATATATATATATATATATATATATATATATGTATGTATGTATGTATGTATATATATATATGTATATTTGAAAAAAGGATCTGCTGATGAAAACAAAAAGAGCCATAAATACTAAGTATTGTGACCCATGGGATTCTTGCTTTAAGTATAGTTTTTGATTCCCTACATAACAAATAATGGGGAAACACTGGAAGCTCATAGCACGGAGGCTCATGCACTGGCAAAAACAGTATAAATTTTTTGTCCATGTCATGAGTCTGTTAATTTTCTGGTGAAATGCAGAAGCAATTGTTTGACCACCAATGTTAAATGCAGCTTTGCCGGTGTATGCACAAAGAAGAATTCGTATATCATCTGGATTTTCACCCTCCTTAGCACATAAATACCGATGTAAAGTTTGATAAAGTGCTCTTATTAATACTGACTTCCCAACACCTGCACCTCCTGACAGATATGCATGAATAGGTTCCTTTTTACATTTGATCCATTGTATAACATGATTAAAGAATTCACGTTGCTTCAAATTCAGACTGGCCACAAGCTTTAAATACTCATCATCAGGTAATCTAACAGAACTCTGCTCATTCAGTTGTCCTGTTGATGGAATTCCAACATCACTTACTATATCATACTCTCTCTGTTCAATTGGCCTTTCAGGATTGAAATGAACAAAAGTTTCAGAATCAACATTTCCTTCATATTCATCATCCGCTTCAGTTTGCTGAGCACCAGGAGCTAATTCATCATATGCTTCAGTCAAATCATCTTGCGCCATCTGTTCTGCCTGCTCAAGCACATCAGCATTGTGTTCATACTGTTTGATTTTCTGAGCTAAGAAAAATTTTTTCTGGTTAAATGACTGCTCAAAGCTCTGCTGTCCACACAGAAGATCAGAACATTTATTTCGCCATGGAGTGAACAGCATTAGTTTTTCTCTGTAGTAATTTTCTGGGTCTGTCTTTAAACTATAGTGCACATATCTTATAACTCTTGCTGTTTTTCTGCGCTTGATTTTGATTCCATTTTTCAACACAACTAATGTGCTGTCATCTTTAAATTCACCTTCAGTATCAGATCCACTTTCTTCATTTTCTGACTGGTGCCTCTCATCATCATTTGTTTCCATTTCAGACAGCTCAGTTATATTTTCCTTTGGGAAAACTACATCTAACTGTGAGACATAGTCAGCTAAACACCAGTTTTCAAGTTGTTTTGGACGTTTTGCATACCTTTTGACTATGTTACTGCATTCTATGTCTGTGGAGTTAGCATTCAACTTTTCAAGTTCTGAATCAGGTTTGACAAGTATTACACGGTCATCAACTGGAGATGTGTTTATAAACGTTACATCTCTTGATGCCTTTGTAAGTGGCATTTGCAAAACCAGATATGCTGCTTCTTGTGCTCCAACTTCAACACTGTTAAGAAATTGATTTCCAATGTGTCTAACTTGTCTCTTAATGTCAAGATTGCCCTCTCTTGCTTCTTTTGCTGCTCTACTTAGCAGGTCGCTCATACCTCTTTGGGATTTACTTATGTATGAGACAATGTACATTGCACAAGCATATGGGTCCAAGACATACTGAATGTCAATATTAGCTGCCCATGCATGAAGAAGTGTACTGTTGTAAGCATTCACTCTAAGGTCACAGGGTTTACGCTTTAGAAATACTTTGGATCCTCTCAAGGAACTTCTGATGCATTTGATATAATCATCTTCAGATAGTTGTAGTACATCCTGCAAAAACTCTTGGAAACTGAAGCTTACATCACATCCATTTTTAAATTCATTCATTTTGTCTTGCATAGCTTTATGCATCTTCTTGTATTTCTCAACTTCACTATCCAAAGGTTCTAATATAATTGTAGCTTGGAGTGGTGGAAGTGGAAATCCAAATCTACAAACAGCCTTTCCTCTTTTTTTGCATGTCTGCGAGTGTTTATGCACCTGTAATTCTAGCATATTGTCTTCTGCATTCCTTTCACATTTTAAGTAGCTATCAACAAATGCAACAATTTCCTTGTCATCATTTTCTAAGTATTTTGGAGCATTTTCAATCCAAACAATCATGTGAACATGTGGTGATCTCCTTTGTTGAAATTCAACCCTATAGAAGAAATCCTTTACCTTGCCGATAGGATGATGATCACTCTTAAGCACAGTATTCAAAAAAGTTCGAAAACGATGATCAAAATACCTTGTACATGTAATTGGGTCTTTCTGAACTAACTTTGATTTTTCATTCCATGTCATACACTCAATTTCAGAATCTGTGTACTCTCTGTCATCTTTTTAAACACCTAGTGCCCTTATCAGATCACTCCATCTTGTATCTGCAGCAGAAAAGGACATAAACCAAGTTGGTAGATCAAGCTGTCGTATCATTGCAAAAACATCTTTCTTCCTTGTTTCAAGATAAGGAGGAGAATTTCTCAACTGTTTGAAAACATAGAATCCCTCATTGTGTCTAACAATGTCATTAACTTGATCAGGATTTCTTATTTCATTTGCAGTAAATGTTTTCCCCTTTGTTTTGCACTTCCTAAGAGCTAAATTGCATTTGTCTGATACCTGTTTTAGTTGGATCTTTTTCAATTTGAAAAACAAGTTTGGTACCGACTG